GGGCGTAACATTTCCGTCACACACTTGAGGTATTCGGCCAATCACAATGCACTGGATAGCTGGCCAATCAGCATACACCTCGCTTTTCAGAACGATGAGCTTTGTAAAAATCGATGTTTCAGAAAGGCGGGGCATAGAGGAGCAACAATAATGTACAGTATGTGGAAAATAATGTGTTTTTTTAACCTTAAACCGCATAAACGCATTGCATTTCACCAAATACACCAAATAATGTTCTTTTTAGCAACGTCATATGACCCCTTTGAAGTGTGATCTTTTCATGTGAGTAATGCTGCTTTGAAGTAAATGCTGCTCCACACAAACAGTCTGCAAGTGCTGAGTGTGAGTTTGAGTCGCTTATAACATGCATTTGAAAATACAACATGTGCCAAGCATCTTCCCAAAATTGAAATGAGAAGTGTTTATAAATCTCTCAAAAGAAAGGCATTTCAAAAGATGTTTCCCTGTTGTTTTTTGCCAAAGAAAAAGCAAAGGTTTAACATCTGAAATTCAAGGAAAAACAACAATAAATGTTAGAATTGTAATTGTACTGTTATGTAAAATAATAATAATTATTATTATTATCACAAAGTACTTTTAAAATTCAGTAGTATTATAGTGATCGTTTTGTGTATTAATTTATTAATTATAATAAATAAAATAGTATTTTTATTAATAATAATAATATATTATTTTTTTATTGATAATAATTGCAATTAAGTGTTTCCCCCCAATGTTTTTTTTTTTTTTTAATGAAATAATGCACATACCGTTTCATAGTCGTTAAAAAGTATTTTTGGCCAGTAAATTTTCTTAAGTCACTGGTTATTGGACAGTGTGGCTAAATGTTAGTTTTAGAACCTGCATTTGGGGTATTGGCATCAAGGCATTTCTTGGTTATCAAGTTGGAAAATACATGAGTGACATTGTTTTTCTTGCATAATATTATAGTGAGGCTAATTTGAAGAAGGCTCCAGGGAATAAGCTCACCAATTCGGCCTCTCTGCCTGGTCAGAATGGAAATCCAACTTTCGCAGCTGTAGCTGCTGGCTATGACAAAAGCCCTGGTGAGTTTGCATGTTAAATATAAAGATGATGAACATGGATCAACTTGTAGTGGTGCATGAACAGGAAATTTGAGGACATTACTGATTATTATTATTTTAACACTGATTTAAAGTGCCCCTTGCCACAGATTTGCATGTAAATGTTATACAAGTGGTGTGCTGTTGTTTTTACAGGTGGCAGTGGTTCAGCTAGTAAAGCTGACAGTCTAGGGAAGGTGACACTATCTCACATGACATCAGTGGAGAGTGATGGATCTGACAGGTGCAGTGGCTTCATAATGAAACATCACTTAACCTTCTTTCTCATCTGTTTTACAAGTATATTTATAACTGTGGAAAAGATTTCTAAAAAGATTTATAATCTTTTAGCTCTGAACTGTGGAGCCCAATAGACACCACCAGCAGCCCCAGTTTTGGACCGGTAAATGCTTTCTCTGCTTTTGGACCCAACAACCCACTTAATCTTTCTGGAGGTATGCAACATGTTTAAATAAAATGCAAAATGTTAAAATAAAATTGCAATCAATGTATCCAATATTGTGGTTATTCTCTGTATTAGTTTTCAGAGGCATGACTGTTCCCAAGAGTTCAGAGCCCCAGCAGATTTGGCCTGACTACACTCCAATGTCCCCGTCCATCTGGGATACTGAGCCAAATAATTCCTGGGCTACCAGCACTGGATCTCCAGCAACTCCAACAACTGTAAGATATCGCTTCCTTGTCACATTATCATCTCTCATTCAGATGGACACCTGTGATCCCAAAGAGAACATTAACACTAAGATCATGGAGTATCACAGAAATTACAGTGACATTTCATTTTTTTCTTTTTTGATATCAAGGTTATTTTCAGATTAATCTTGAACCATTACACACTACTGTAAATGTTTGGATCAGCAGTTTTTTTAAATACATTTATTCAGCAAGGATGCATCAAATTTATCAAAAGTGACCGTAAAAACATTTATAATGTTACAAAAGATTTTTATTTTAAATAAATGCTGCTTTTTTTAAACTTTCCATTCCATTGTAAAATACTCTACAATACACCTGTGACCTCATCACATCAGTATTGCTGGGTCTGTTTTGCTTGCAAACCATTCTGCTAAATGGTATTACTGTTTGTAGTTTTGATCAAATAAATGCAGCCTTGGTGAGAATAAGAGACTTCTCTCAAAAACAAAACATAAGAAAACTAACTTACCCCAAACGTTTGAACAGTAGAGTGTGTATATGTAACAATAAGCCAGATGCTTAAAGGTGGGGTAAGCGATTTTTCAAAAACGCTTTAGAAAACTGATTCGGGCCAACTAGCAAAACAAACTTGCAGCCAATCAGCAGTAAGGGGCGTGTCTACTCATGATGTGGAGGAGAGAGCGTTCAGTGCACAGGATGGACATTAGCGAGCCGAGCGACAGAAAGATAGAGATGGCGGATAAAAAAACAAGAGGAAAACATCTGCAGAACAAAAGAAGGCTTAAGGCAATAAGGCAAGATGTAGGACCCGTGTAAATATCGGATCAGCTTTCCAGCACTGGAGAGAACTCAAGGAGCGGAAGGCCTGCGATCGGACGCCGAGGTTGCTTTGTTTCTTCTCGATAGGTGAGTAACACCGTGTGCGCTGCAACAGCTAAAGTCTGTCTAGTACACTGGACGCGACAAAGCGACCGTTGAAAATCATTTGAAATTTGTGTCAATACGTCATGAATAGAACGCAGCAGCAGTTTTCTGTCGGGGATTTGTCTATGGTGTAGACAGCATCACTGATTATAATGAGTTCCATAGCATTTTGTCGCGCCGCACTACTCGCGTCCGGTGTAGACACGGTGTAACATTGGTTTTGCTTTGTTTCACAGAACTAATAGTTGCCTGGGTTGCGTACATATGTGTGGGGCGGAGCTATCAAAATAGGGGCGAGACCCCCAAAAGTGTTTGTTTTGGTGATTTCAAATGTCAACATTGGCTACCAGAAATCGCTTACCCCACCTTTAACATGTTTCAGATTACCCCTGACTGTATATAAAGGTAGTTCTGCAGGCTATGAGATGATCATCTTTCTCTTTCTGCCTGTCTTCAGTCCATTTTGGGGAGTGCGCACAGTCCCTGGTCCTTCAGCAGGTCCATCTGGTCCACTGGCAATGACTCCACCCTGCACTCCTTCAGTCCTCCTACCTCCTCCGCTCTCCCTGACTTGGTTAGCCACACTGCGCCGCCCACACCTGCCCCCAATGACATAGGCCGCACCTACAACCCCTGGAGCATGGGGTGGTCTCCCTCACTCAATCGCTGGAACTCGGAGCCCTGGCCTAACAGCCCCGACAACAACAACGGCATCTGAGACACAACAGCCCACTGGGCAACAGAAAATGCAGTGGTTTCTAATCTTATTTTATTTTTCCTGGTTGAACAGTATGTTGTACACCAAGATAATTTTAATGATTGGAAGAAATCTTGAATTGTAATGGTACAAATGTCCACTGGAAACCCAGTGTTGCATTTACAAGTCCCCCTCAAAATACAATCCTATTTATTTTAGTGGGGTATCATAAAAATGCCTTAAGTTCAATTTTAGCTAACAAAGCGAATGAAAGATTGAAGACATTGGCTTAATGCTATTGCCCTGGTAGGGGTGTTTTTCTTTACAATTTTAGAGATTCCCTATTTTGAGTGATATTAAAGTATTGGTCCAGTATTACTGTATTAAAATGCAAGATGCAGTGTTACTCAACCTTAAAATAAGCACTTTGTGTAAAACACCACTCCTACAATGCTGTCATTTTGGTTTGAGATGTTTTCATTCATTTTAGAGCATTTTCTGGCCGTATTTGTTGGTTGATTTAATGTTCGGAAAGATACATGTAGTTGCCAAGACTACAATTACCACATTGATTTGAACCCCTCTGAATCAAAGCCAAATGTAAATGCATTCAGGATTCAGATTTTATTTTTATTTTAATTGCCCTCTGCTTAAAGTGAAAAGCTTCATTTGCTGAAATTGGCTTTTAATTTGAGGGAGCTTAAAGAACTTGAAATGTGTTCTGTGCATCGTTCATTTGTCACTTCTAGAGTTAATGTTTTGGTCACATTGGTTGAAATAAACATATCAGGCTAGAATATTGACTTCTCATTTTATTTCTGCCTAAATTGAAGGGATAGTTCACCCAAAAATGAAAACTGTCATTTACTCATCTCATCTCATTTTAAACCTAGATTTACATTTTCAAAACATCAATAAGGATATTTCTGTCCATGCAATCAAAAGTTTGATGATTCAAACAGATTAAAAAAATATTTTAAGCAATCCATATAAATCAAGAAGTTTAATTGAATTCTTCTGAAAAGAGACACTTTATATGATGAATAGAATTAATTTAGGCTTTTTCTTCCTTATTTAAACGGATCAATGAATGGTTAATATGGATTACTTTTATGACGTTTATATTTCTGAAGCATCAAAGTTTTGGTTGTGCAGATAGGAATCTACGGTGGCCCAGTAGTGCACAACACAACGAAATCACCACAACACAATGCAAAAGACTAATTTCATTGTTGTGGCTTGCTTCCATTGTGTTGTGCTAATTTTGTTGTGTTGCGACTTGTTCCATTGTGTTGGGCTAATTTCCTTGTGCTGCGACTTATTTCCATTGTGTTGTGCTAATTTCCTTATATTGTGACTTGTTTCCATTGTGTTGTGCTAATTTTGTCGTGTTGCGACTTGTTCCATTGTGTTGGGCTAATTTCCTTGTGCTGCGACTTATTTCCATTGTGTTGTGCTAATTTCCTTATATTGTGACTTGTTTCCATTGTGTTGTGCTAATTTCATTGTTTTGTGGTTTGTTTCCATTGTGTTGTGCAAATTTTGTTGTGTTGTGGCTTGTTTCCATTGTCGTGCTAATTTTGTTGTGTTACGACTTGTTTCCATTGTGCTGTGCTAATTTTATTGTGTTGTGGCTTGTTTCCATTGTGTTGTGGAGATTTCGTTGTGTTATGCATTACTGGCCCACCGTAGAAATCTCTTAGGTTTTATTACAAATATTTTCTTTTGTGTTTTGAAAATGAATAAGAGTCTTTGGTTTGGAACGATAACAGAACAGGGTTAGTTGCACCAATAAAGTGCAAAGGATGCTACATTTGAAAATGGAAATCTTGTAATACAAATCTATTGCAAAGAAGCATTTCTATGCTATTTGTAAAGCTGCTTTCAGCATCAAGCTGAACTTTTTAAGATCACATGTCCTCATCACAAAGACAAGATGGTCTTTCTTTAGCGTATTGGCTGGGTCCACAACCATCATGCCTCGTCCCAGTTGACCTTGTACCTCCACACGTACAGCACACTGTAAACTCTCTGTGATCACGCTGCTGTCCACACAAGCTGCCACAGCGAAGGTGTCGTAGGGTACAAACCCGTGCCCAAAGAACAAATCTTTGTTGATGATGCGAGGTTCTCTGGAGTAGGCCCAGCACTTGGAGGTTATCTTCTTCAGGAATCGAGCAGCTGATGTATCCTGATTGACCAGCTCATCAAAACACTCCTGGAAAAATGTTAAGCACATAAATGAGTCAGGCCTAAAATATATTCAATGGTAGAATGGATTTTGCTCACAATGGGCAGCTCTTACCCAAGATAGCTTGTTTCCGCAAGTGAACTCCCAGGTTGCGAGGTGTGTTGAGCAGGTATATTCTTCCAAAACTACATAAGCTGATTCAGCATCCATACTAAAATTAAACTCTGCAGATGGTGTCAGATTTCCCTTGCCTGGAAAATGAACAGTGGTCGGATGAAGCTCAGTATAAAGCGTCCTGATTGGGATACGTGTCCTGACGTGCTGTTGTTGGCACTGCCTTGGTTTTATTTAAAAAGGGGTCATATGATGCGATTTCAAGTTTTCCTTTCTCTTTGGAGTGTTACAAGCTGATTGTGCATAGATAAGATCCCTGAAGTTGCAAAGACTAAAGTCGCAAACCCAAAGAGATATTCTTTATCAAAGTTAAGACTCTGCCACGCCCTCCTAAAACACCTCATTTAAACACGC